TCAACAGGGGAGTGACGGTGAAGAGGTTCCGTGTTCTGAACCTGCTGGCATCTCATTACGACAAGTTTCAACATGCTGTGTCCGGTTCCTTGAAAAAATATTGTCACGCATGTGTCCCATCATTATGGTCCTTTTGGCCTGTCAAGGCTTGTCATGCCATGAGCTCCCACAATGCCCAGGATTCCACTATGTCCCAGGAACAAACTTGTGAGAGGACAATATGCCAAAGAAAGGCTCGTGGGCAAAGATCATGGAAATGACAACTGAGGGGTCAGAGCTCTAGGTTTGAGGCTTCCTGCACCAAAAATGGGTCCGCGAAGTCCAAGGCCGAACATCTGTCATGTTTGCCGCAAGTAGCGTTGGTTTGCTTTGTGCTGCGCCAAACCGCACTGCTGTTCCCTGGCCAGAAGCTTGCTCAGCTTCCACTGGAAGAACACCGCTTGTGTGCGAAGAATTGTTGTCTGTGGGTGCACGTCCAGCCAAAGCCTGGCACTGTTGTGACCCATTCAGTGGTGCAACGGCTGGAGCAGAACTTTCAGAGCGGGCTCCTTGGATTTAATTGCATCTTGCTGGGGCCTAGTTCAGCAATGCAAAGAGTCAATGACGAGTAATCATCCAGAAACACTACACAAAGCCAATGCCGCAGGACTGCGGATTGAGCAACTACACTGATTCTTCGATTGGAATTTAAAGCATTGATCACCTTGTCGCGAAGGCGCAAAGCAAAACTATGCTAGGCCTGATTTTCTATCTTAGTGTGCGCGCTTGTTAGCTGTGACGCTGACGAGTTGCTGCTCCCAATCCCATGCCATGCATCCAGCCACTGAGCAAAAATTGAGATGGTGATGCTTTGTGCAAAGAGGCCATGAAGCTGTCGCAATATTATCACGAAATTAGTGGATCAACCATCATATTGATAACTCAGACTCTTGCATGTCAGTGAGTGGTTGCCTATTCACTATCAAAGAACAGCAAAGACGCAAGAGGATCCTTGACTCTTAGGGACCCAACGGAAGTCAAACCGCACCTTTCCCAGTGCCACGAAACCAGCATGCGAAACTGCAGAAGTGTGGCGCCCACGCTCAAACAGAATGTGAAATTGATCTAACAGAATATGAAATTGATCTGAACTTTGATGCGCAAAACCGGATTGACACGACGACAATCGGAGCCCCCCTCTGCTCTCATTGCAAGGCCCACGCCTCATGGCGAGTGTTCAATTCTTCGCAAGGGTCCACCTCAGATCAAGCCGAGACCAGGCAAGGATCGGACAAAGGTTTTGGACATCAATATTAAACAATGGCTCGGGGCCGCAAGATGAGCAAAGGCTCAGCCAAGTTTGAGTGGTCGGGTACTTTGTGGAAATCCAGACATCTCAGGATTGGGTTGACGACCCAAATCACTCTGCGTCCAACAACTATTCACTATCCAAGTGATCTTGAATGATTCTCTTAAAGACACACAAAGCAATTCAATATTCAATTCACCAACTTGAAATCTTGAAGTTGTGGAATTCCTTACTGGTCCGATCACTTGGCAAGCAAGCTATCATGCTTACTTTGTAGTCTAGACAGCTTATCACTTCATGATGTGTTTGGAGATTATTTCATGATATGCCCCAAGCAGACTTGGACTGAGGTTGGACAATCCAAATCAAACAGCTATTCGCCCTCTTCGCATCCTGTAGTTGACTCATTGTCATGATTGCTGATAAGACAGATGAGTTGGGCGCACCACCTGGGCCCCACACCAGAGTCTCCATGTTGATACCACCATGCAACAATGGACTGTCATTCCATGAGCTTTCCATCACTGCATTTTGCTGCCAACTTCATGAATGCTTTGGTCATTGAGCAGTTGTTCCTTCCACAGGTTGAAAGAGGCCATGGAAGCAGCGTGGGCGTTCTTCAACTAGTTCTGGCTGCTTTCAATGAACAGCATAGCCTGGTGCATCCAGAGAAAGAAATCCGAGAGCAAAAGCTCTTTTCTCCCCCCTGCATGCCTCCATGAAAAACGGCAAAACGCTCCCAGCTCCAGTCTGAATCAACTACCAGCATCACGCCCTTCAAGTCGTTGTCTAAGTTTTCGGCTACAGGGTGACGGTCACCCTGGAGCCAAATGTGGCGCGACCCTTTGCTTGGCCAAAATGGTGTGAATTTTGGCTCACGGGTTTTTTGTGATTGTGCCGATGGCTGGGGCTGGCAGTGGTCTTCTTCCCAGGTGTCACAGGGGCGGCAACGCTGGTCGGCTACCCGGATGGCCACCCCAAAGAGCCCATCCCCAAGCCCCGGTCTTAGTTGTGGCGCGCAGGAGCGAAAACGTGGAGAAGAGCCGGCCCCCGCTAGGAGGCTCAGTTGGCAAGGTGCTTGTCAAGACAAAGGCGATGCCAAGATGGAGGTGGAGCCCTCGCTGCGTGCAGCCCACGAAGCCCACCACGCAGCCGTAAGGGCAGCCACATCAGTAAGGGCTGCAAAGGAGGGCCAAGCTGCAGCGCCCAAGCCGCCCAGGCTGCAGAGGAGGCGGTAGGCTGCGCAGAGCTGAGGCCCGCCAAGCTGTGGAGGAGGCTGCCAAGCTGCTGCAAGCTGCAAAGGAGGCCCACCAAGCTGCCAAGGCTGCCCAAGCGGCAGAGGCTGCCAAAGCGGCAAAGGCCCACCAAGCTGCCAAGTCCAGGCTGCCGAGGCTGCGGTACAAGGACAAAAAAAAGCGGCACGAGAAGAAAGAGAAGGAGCAGCCGGAGAAGAAGAAGGAGGAAAAGGTGAAGGGCAAGCGCAAGGGCAGCAAACGGAGAAGGACACAAAGGGCACATAAGGTGCAGAAGAAGCACAAGCAGGAGGCTGCTTCGCACCAGCGGCTTTCGCACAATGAAAATGAACAAACGCCGGCGGCTTGTAAGACCGCCAAAGTCCAGCCTTGCAATTCAGCTCAGCCATCAGATTACACGTTGCCAAGCCAGTGAAAAGTTTCCAGTGAATTTGATAATGAGTTTCATTGAGTCTTTTGAGCCCAGAAACGGATCCAGCTCAACAATGTGCAAGTTGCGTTGGATTGCCGGCAAGTATTTCTGCAGCCCCAACACGTTCTCCAGCAGGCATGCCTCAGCCAAAACAGAAGGACGCACAATGGATGGTCATTTTACGCTCCAACTTCCTTGGGCCTATTCACTAAATTTGGTTATCATGAGGGCTCTACAGAACTCGCGATTTCTGAAGTTTACCAAACAACACAGGGCCATAACAGGACCACCAGGGGCGACGGCGAACCATCTAACTGCACACTTGTCACGTTTCAATCAGTCACCCAGGCACGTTGCTTTCGGCGCAGTGTCCTTGATGGCCCGGCAAACCCCAAAGAACTGCCGTGCTTGTGGGTCTTTGGCCCTTGGTCTTTGCCCTGAGCCGGCTGAAAGCTTTGCAGGGGAAGCCTGCCACGTAGAGATCCACCTGCCAGCCCACCCACAGACACAGCTCGTGTGAAGAAGTGTGCCTGGCCTTCCCCTTCAAGTGTTTGAGCTTCCGGCGGCAAAGATCCTTGTATTATATCATATCTGATGTTATGAATTTACAGTTGCACATAGCACACAACGCAATGCTTTCAGTACAGTAGATGTGCAGCTCTATATTCGCACTGCAGGGTTGCTTACCGAGTGCATCACTATCGACTTATTGACTACTCATCTGGAACCTATCGACTATTCAAGGCTGCTCTATTCAGAAGATTCAACTCTTCACTATTGGCTCATGGCAGGCCATGGGTTATCATTCGCGATTATTTGTCTGTCGATTGACTATCATGATCATTACTGATTATTGGGCTGACGAAGTACAATTGATCTTAACTTATTTGTTTCGTCTGCTATTGATTGACGGCTGGCTATATAGGAATGAATGGTAATTGTCTGACTCGTTGACGATTGGCTATCTCGGCACTTAACCTTAAACTGGTTTTGTTTTAAAATTTAATGCTCTTGGAATGTTTGCAATCTTTGGGAGTTGCCCTGTGGATTCAAAAGCGCGTCCTCTCTTGATCACCCCGGGCCTGGTATTAGGCTTATTAGACTGCACCACTGGGCTCGCGCACGTGATATATAAGCTGATGGGTCCTGCAGAAAGGAAACATGTTAATGCGCAACAAGTGATGCAAGCAAGTGGCTGCTTGGGTGCAAAGTTGGCATGGACCCATTTCTGTGGCCCAGCTGCGTTGTCACAGCTCGACCTTAGAAAGCAAGCTTGGATTGTACTGCACGCCCATCAAGTCCAGTGCAACCAGTGGGGCTTCTGCCCCACTGCAGTCTGTCATGACTGCCAGCTCTGGCAGTTCTTGCTGCCTTAGTTTTAGACACAAGGCAACTGGCAACACATTGGACATGAGATGAAAAACAATAATTCGAATAGAAAGCATCATGTTTGGCCAGCACACCAAGGCGGCGTGAACTCTCTACCGCGCTCCAGGTGATACTTCTGCAAGTTGGAGAGGTGCTGCCTGCAAGATTTCTTGTGCTGCCCTGCCCCCCCCCCCCTTTGAAAGAAACTTTGTGACCTTGCCTGAAGTCGGTTTCGGAGCCGCTGCTACCGGCATCAGAGCTGTCAGCGCTGCCATTGCTGCTGATGCCACTGCTTGACTCGGTTGCTTTTGGGAAAACTGCCAGTTGCAGCGGCTCTTGCTTTGATGTGGTTCACTCCAAGAGAATACGACTCAGAACTCAAGTGGAAATATTGGCATCCTTTCGCCCCAAGGGGGATCGAGGTTTCTGGGGGGTGAAGGTGTCGCTACCCGATCAGGTCGATCGATTTGGGGGCTTTCGTGGGATTTGGAAAACCAATGAAAACACACAACCACCAAAAAGGGACGCGAAATCACTTGGCTGTGGGTCGAAAATATGTACACTAGATGAAGCCCTGGTATATGAAACCAAAGACTGCAACTTGCGGTTTTTCTGGTGGTTTCATTTGCCCCATACCCGCGTCTCTCCCCGTTCAACGCCCCGAATCGGAACATCCGTCCTCCAGCGGCTTGCGGATGGACTTGATGTCCAGCCGCGCTCTGGATATGGGCCCAGCGCTGCGACTCGGAACCCTCAGCCTCGCCTCGCGGAGCGGGGTGACGAGAGTGACGAGAGTGGGGTGACGAGAGTGAGGCCAGGGGCTTCCGAAAATCATCTTGGTTGACGTTGGAAGGGGAGCAAAAGAATTAAAGATAGCAATTTCCCAAAATAATGGCCAGGACCCCAATGGCTGGCAAATCATCGGTGGAATGACCTCCCAATGGCTGTTTTGGAGTTATTTGCCAGCCACTAGGGGTCCTGGCACCCATGTTTTGATGGGAATCCTCCGAAAGAAGATTCCTCTACCAAAAACTGGTGGTTAGTGGGGGAGTTTTCGGAGTTCTATGTCCATCTGATGCCCAACTGTTCCTGTAGCGAAGTCAAACGCAGTTCCTTCGGGATCTGTTTAAAGGGACAACGAGAGGAATCAGGGGCGGTTAAGGTTGCTTTGCATTGAAAGTGGTTCACCGGGTCCTTGAAACTTATACAAACCTAAAGCTCACCCCAGGATTGTTCTGGACTTTACAAAACACAAAGCAGAAACAAACAAGATTGCATATCTACATTGTACAAGCAAGCAAGCCAGCCAAGCCAGCAACAAGCAAGCCGGCCAGCCAACCAAATGCAAGCAAGCAGGCAAGGCAAGGCAAGGCAAGGCAAGGCAGGGCAGGGCAGGGCAGGGCAAGGCAGGGCAAGGCAGGGCAAGGCCGGGCAAGGCAGGGCAAGCAAGCAAGCAAGCAAGCAAGCAAACAGCAAGCCACAAACAATAAAATAAAGACATATATATATATATATATGTATGTACCACAATAATAAAGAAACACTCAAACAAACAACCAAAACAACAACCAACAATCAAACAAAACAAGCTAAACCAGAGAGAAGTATAACAAAACAGAACAAAGCACACACACACAAGCAACCAAGGCAATCAATGCAGGTAAGCAAACCAAACACAAACAAACAAACACACAAACAAACAAACAAACAAACAAACAAACAAACAAACAAACGAACGAACGAACGAACAAACAAACAAACAAACACACACACACAAACAAACAGCAAGGCAAGCAAGCAAGCAAGCAAGCAAGCAAGCAAGCAAGCAAGCAAGCAAGCAAGCAAGCAAGCAAGCAAGCAAGCAAGCAAGCAAGCAAGCAAGCAAGCAAGCAAGCAAGCAAGCAAGCAAGCAAGCAAGCAAGCAAGCAAGCAAGCAAGCAAGCAAGCAAGCAAGCAAGCACGCTCAGATGCAATCAAACAAGCGAACAAACTAAACAAACAACAACACAAAAGACACGACAAAACCAAATATGCAGTTCAAATAAACAACGCAGCAAAAAAAACGGAACAAACAATAAACACAAAGAACACCAATTTCCAAGCAAAACAAAACAACACAACGGACTGACAGACAGACCAGCGGACAAACGAGCGAATGAAGAAACAAACAAACAAACCAACAAACAAACAAACACACAAGCAAAAAACGAGCCAGTCGGGCAAGCAAGTAAGCAAGCGTGCGAGCTAGCTTCTAAGCAAGCCAGCCAAGCAAGCAAGCAAGCAAGCAAGCAAGCAAGCAAGCAAGCAAGCAAGCAAGCAAGCAAGCAAGCAAGTAAGCAACAGCGCGAGTGAGCAAGCCAGCCGGCAAGCAAGCGAGAAAGAAAGGAATAAAGAAAGAAGGAAAGGAACAAAGAAAGAAATAAAGAAATAAAGAAAGACAGAAAGGCAGACAAATAAAGAACTGAGGAAAAATAAAGAAATAAAGACATAAGTACCGACGCAAATACAAAAACGAAGAAAGCATACAATACATAAGAAATAACGAAACAAAAATAAAGACAAAAACAAAGCAATAAGAAATCAAGAACAACAGAAATAAGCAAATGCAAAAGCAAAGCAAGAACGCAACAGGGAATGAAGAAAGAAAGAAAGAAAGAAAGAAAGAAAGAAAGAAAGAAAGAAAGAAATAAAGAAATAAATAACACATAATAAAGAAAGAACAACAAAAAAAACGAAGCAAATACAAAGCGAAAGAACAAACACAAAATAAATAAGGACTAGTTCAAGAACGGAAAACGTACAAAAGAAGGAAAGAAAGCACAGGCAGAAAAAGACTCCTGCATTATCACTGGAAATATCGCCCATGTCGGAACAGGAATCTTCAAAGTATTCTATGACAGCGGGAAGCTTAAAAATTGACAACAACAATATACAACAGTACAACTAAAAAGCCAGAGAACTTCTTCGGAAGTGAATAGCAAGTCGATCTCTTTTGTGAAGTGCTGAAATGGCTTTGAGTTCAATTGTTCAAAGCGCTCATGGAGTTTTGGGTCTGGACAATAAGTATGTGTTTTCTTTGATACACTTAATTGTGTTTCATGTTTCTGCACTTACCTTGCAAAGCAGGCTTTCCAAACAAAGGCTCTCAAAGCGTGGGAGGGGGATCCATGATTTCGCCA